CACTAGTGATTTATCTTAATGTACCTTCATGTTTTTTTTGTTTGTTTTTTTTTTAATTCGCACTAAAGTATCATAACATAATCATTCCATCTGGGGAGAGCGATCAACATGATTAACCTTAATAATGTTCACAGATTTTCAATTTCGGCCCAATTTTTGTTGAATGAAATTTTAATTGGCAGCTTGTTTGGTGTATCGTAAAATCAGTCGATATAAGTTTTCATACCGCATATGAACAGCATTTACCCTACATTACATGGAATTCCTGGCTGATACTATTGCATCGTATGTCGTGTTCATATAACAAATTGTCAAAGGGGAGTGAAAACAAGAGACAAGAGAGAGCATGAATGATGATCGAAATATGTGGTTAAGGAGAGGAGTGGGAAATCATCAAAACATGCCAATGACTAGTAAGTTTAGAACGAAGACGACGTCAACAATTCGTGTTTTCCGCCAGAAATATCAACATACGCGGTGGATACAAGTCTCTCAATTACCCAGGTCACTAAATAATTGAAAATATCACGGGATTATACAAATATGTATATTTAAGTGTTTTTGTATGATATTTACACTTTTTAATTATTTATTCCTTTATTTATTTAATTTTCTATTTATCTGTGTGTGTGTGTTTGTTCATGTATTTATTTATTTATTTATTCATTCATTTACAAACTTTCAATATATGTATGATATGAGTTTGAAACGATTGTATTTGTTGTAATTAGGTTTATAATTGACTTAATTATTATTATTATTATTATTACTATTATTATTATTATTATTATTATTATTATTATTATTATTATTATTATTATTATTATTATTATTATTATTATCATCATGTTGATAACATTGATTATATACTGACGACGAAGAAAATAGGAAGCAGTTTGATTAAATAATTTGTGATATTAATATTTTACTATTTTCATTACCGAGATTCCATTTATTAGTTATTGACGAATTGTAAAGCCCGTCATCATTATATTGGTGTTTTGAATACTTCTGTTATTTTATTATTATATTAAATGTCGAATTATTTCATTCAAACTTATTTCAATTACAAAATTGGCAGTAAATCTTTTGGATAGTAAGTAACTTTTGAAGGTCTTTCCTGAATTTAATATACACATTGATTGTGTCGTTTGGCGTGGGTTCAAAATGGTGTGTTCTATTAAACGCATGTATAAGCCATGGTTGTACATATTCGGACTATTACATATGTCATATAACGCAGTCTATTAAACTACTCTTCACAGTTCTGGTATCAGCATCAACATTTACCTCATTGCAAACTTACAATGAATAAATTGATGATTTTTTTTAGTATGTATGAAAATAAACAAATGCCATACTTCAGTGAATACGTGAATCTGTAACAACATTTTAATATTCTTACTTTAAGTAACCACATGAATTGTAATGTTGTATTGTTCAAAAGAACATTGGCAGTATGTCAAAACAAACCAATAGTATATACTATGTATAGTGTCTTGTGTGCTCAATATTGGAAGCAGTGACTAAGAGAGAAATAAAGATATTTGTTTTGTAATTTCTCTTTCTTTTCACTGCTTTATAGGTGTTTTATATGTTAGTATACGGTATGTGATATTTAAAATATTGGAAATGTATACAGTGCAATGGCAAATTATACAGTGTGCTTTGCCACAGGAAATATATGTGTAATCTAGTCTTGGTCGAATACAATATATAATTATGTGGTTGGTTGGTTGGAGGATCGGATGGAAAAGAGAAAAACTAAGAATTTCCACGAAGTATGTGTAATTCAAAAGAATTGGGGACATTTCCATCAGGCATATGTGAATAAATATTTGCAAAAAACAAATTCCCCATTCCCCAGATTACAAAAGGAAAATCTCATAATCAAGGATCAATGTTTTAGTGCGAGTTATTGGATATAAATACCGCCCTCTATTATTAATTAGTAAATTGAATTAACTGACTGCTGTAACTGATATTAACAAACTTGGCACTGGTCCAATATCAAGGCAGAGGAATGTGCTCATTTCGGAATTCAAATTTTACAAGTTGCTAGTTCGAATAGCGATGATTACTGCTACTATTATTTTGATCCGTTCATTCCCTATCTCAATATGACCAGCACATAATATAATGTATTCTTTAAAAATAGCGACATTTAACTTTATTAGTTAGATGTGTGTATAAACACCAAATAACGGTACATTCTACTAATTATCATAACTCCATTTACATCTAACAGCTTACGGAATGTCAGCGCAGCCAGCGGCAACCCGGAAATACACTGAGTGGGTTAAACGTTGAAGGGAAAACCCTTGTTTCATTTTCTTATTAAAACGCACGCCGTTGGGAAATATAACCATGCTATGGTAATTTCCACTGTCCCACGGTGGAGTGGATGTATTTGTAGAATATTTGAGTCAATTTATAACATAAATCAAACCCATATCTCAAGAACGTCTGCACATGTTCTTGTGAGTCAGCTGTTCTGTAGATATGGTTTATGCTGATGTTGCTGGAAACGGAGTATTTTGGTTTATGATGAAACATGTAGCTTTATTTATACCCATACACAATTGCAATCGGCTCTTAAATACACATTTTATATCTAAGCTGTATTCTCACTGAGTGAGTGTTTGGCGAAGCAGTGGAACATGCATAGCAAATCGAGGTTTGTTCAGTTTGATTGTAGTATCATATACTAGTATACGTACTTATTTATGTGGCGTACATTAGGAATTTAAGGCTAGTTAGGGGGTCTGTCATGTGACCAAAAACAGTAGTCGCAAACTCGAAGGGAGTAACACTAAGCTCTCCCTTACACTGTAGGGTTTCAATTCCAAATAGCGTACTACACGCCCGACTACACAAATTGCACATGGGAGAACCCCCCCCCCCCCGAGACTCCATGTGAGGCCAATAAGTCAAAATGCAAAATGTTGTTCCGCCGCCCCTGCGTTGTCGAATTTAAATACAATACCACAATGGCATCACGCGGCGATCAGTAAGCATGTTTTGCAATTTCAACAAAAAAAGTAAAAATAAAATTAGTTAGCCTTAACTTCGAGGGAACGTGTAGTAAGGTAAGTTGTATGCGTGCAGTTGGCGAGTATTATACGTTGTCAGACTAAAATACATGCTCTTCAACTACAGTTTGTATAAGTATACAATGTTCCATTATCCGTATATTATACGACTGCATCCCACCGAAAAAAAACGACGGTTTAAAAGCACTATAATTAATTTCTCTATCACAGTGCATAACATAACGCAAACGTTTCCAGCTCAGATTTCATACTGTTCGTGTAACTATAAACACAAATATGTCCATAAAGAAACAATTACTTTGTTCGCATTTTTAAACACAATTTAAGCACTGATTTCATACTAATATTCATTGAACTATGAATGCGACCTAAGTTCAAGCCTTGCTGCCGACCTGAAGCAACATAATTGAGTGCGATTAACACTGGAACACGTGATATGTCTCATGTGACAATGCTGGCAGTAGGTCATAAGTTCGTGACCTTTTCGTCAACCGTCGTGTCAGCTTTTCAGTGTAATAGTTTACGCAGCAATGAGCAATGAATGACGTGTATGTGTAGTGATTGCTGATTCGACAATATGTACTAACAATAATTCAATGATTGCCATGAAAAATAAAACTCGGGGGTTTAAAATCATTGAATCACACAGACAGACTAGCAGGAACATATGGGTTTTTTCGTCGATTAACGAGAGATTATGTTTTTACATATGATAGTATTCAACGTCATTGCCCGTCGTGGTTCAATGAAAAGCAAGGTTCAATACACGCAGGGCTTCACAATAAACATACTTTCAAATCATATTTTTATTGGACTATAGAATCAGAGCGTATTCGTACACACATATTATTCAAATCATTCACCGTTCTTCATTAAATGAGTCGTACGTGTATGCCTGAGAGGGCGTAAAATCCCAGTTGTTTTTATTGGGCACAAAATTGGTAAACATTTGACCCATGTACCAATAGTTAGAGAAATATCTGGAAAATTAATATATTCTTTCTAATATATGTTTAAAGACGTGAAAATATTTTTTCAACCTAGAGGAATCCCATATTTTATTTTTAAAAAATCTAATATTCGTCGGGATGCTACTCAAACAATAAACAAACCATAACACTGCTATGTGTTTGCATAATGTTTGCCCTTGGAACTGAAGAATAGTTAAGATGTGTATTTGATTGTAGATTGTGTCTTGTCATATGTACTTGAACTATGCCTTATTTCCTAAACAGTCTATAAATACTGTGAATCCCTTGATTTGTGTTTACAGATCGGTGGATCCTAATATGTCACTGGCAGTAATGTAAAACACATTTGAAATAGCAACATGCCATTTTAGCGAATTTGACTCAATACACGAATTAACGAAATCTTAATTTAGCTATAATGCCAACAATCTCATTGCGAGAATATACTTTATTCTAAATTAGCGACATCTTGAATTAGCGAAATTACAGGTTAGCTAAATTAGCTAAAATGACATGCTAGCTCAAATACGTGTTTTACAAGTATACACAAGGTTTTCCCCTAATTTGCACTATTATGAAAGAAATTATTCTCACAAAAACTGAAAAACATGATTGATATGTTTTACAGTAGTACTGGTCACGTGCCGGAATTAATAATAATATAATTAATATAATTAATAATGATAACTGCTACATTGAAATCATACCCATTTGTTGTTATTGTATTTATTACGAGTCATTGAGCACATAAACGGCAAAGAAGATTCGTCGTCAACGACGCATATTTCTGTGATGCTGCAACCGGTTTTTTCTTGCAATGCTACATTGACGTGAAAAAATCAGTCGAGATTTATGCAGCATAGTGACATTAACTAGTAATCACCGAACAGGAGAAATTCAATTAAAAACAGTGTCTGAAAAGAAAAATATAATCCTTAAAATGTGTTACACGCAATACGCAGGCACAATTTCTGATTTTTCGAATCTCAACTTGTTCGGAAGCGTACGTTTGTCTCTCCCATGCGCAGTTCTCGCGGGATGTGAAAAATATTCATTAATCATCTTTACAATTTCGATGATAGTCCTTGCGTTTTTACCTTACATATTTTTACGCGTACAATAGGTATAAAATGGCAGAATTTTCAAAGAGAATATTTATAGATGTGCCAATAGAAGATAAGTACATATGTCGGTACTGTGATGAGATTCTACATAATCCTTTACAGACACACTGTGGACACAGATACTGTAGACAGTGCTTTGAAGAATTACTGCGGTATGTATAATTAGCGTATGGTACCATGGTTGACCATTAAGATATCCAGTATACGGTATATCCAGTATACTGTTGTTTTGGGAATGCATTTTCTATTCTCTACAGCGACGTTAATTGACGAGGTGTGTGTGTTTTCTGATGCAACTGAAATTAATTTCATCCGTGATTTAGCATATATCAACAACACAACAAAAGTATGACAACGTTATGAACCCAGAATTAGATCGCGTCCAAAATTCCATAGTTCCTCGCTAGAGGGCGCAATCATTCTGAAAAAATCAACTGAATAAATGCAATCGCAGTTGTACATGTCTTGTTTACCCATTATTATTATTATTATTATTATTATTATTATTATTATGCATTCAATATTCTCTTTATCAACTTCCCAATTTCTATTGAAATATTTACCATATAAATGTAATTTGCAGAAATGAAGGAGATGTACTTTGTAGTTCTTGTCGGGAAGAAGGAATAATGGATTCTTTGTTAAATATTGAACAGGTAAGCCGCACAATGTATCCTTCTTGTGAATGCGTACGTGTACTTGTACTTGTCAAGCTGGTCCAATGTGCCAAATAGTCAACATGTTGTTACACATTTCAAACATTACCGTGACATCTCTTCACGTTACCTCGATCACAGTACCATACATGGTTCTTCTTATTTAACAGGCATATCCGGATAGAGCCATAGCAAGGGAACTGAATAAACACAACGTACAGTGCATAAACATAGGATGTGATTGGACGGGCAGTTTCAAGGATTACAAATTGGTAAGCAAAACACCTAATATAAAGTCAAAACTTTGTTGTTCCTATCTTCGGAATCTACTACGTATTTGATTCAATTTATTTTATCGTATTTTAATTGAAAATGAAATGAATATATAATGATATACACCGTATTTGTTACAAGTGATAGGTTTCAGTTTTCTCAGCCACAACAGACGATGTTTCTCTGGAACACTGATAGATCAAAGTAAATAAAACGGTTATACAGAATACTATATAACATACTTGCTATACTATTATAGGATCACAATCCGACTTGTGAATATGAAATGATAAAATGTGTCAATAGAAATGGATGTAATGTATCAATTCAACGTGGAAATCTATCATCTCATCTGGAGAAGGATTGTCCAATGAGAATAGTAAAGTGTGAACATTGTCAACATGAGACAGCATTTATAGATATGGAGGTAAAGTTTAACGAAATTTGTTTTGCGTGAGCATCACGGCCACACCTGACATTGTACGGCGATGGACGTTGATTTATTTACATATATCGATGAGATGTGTATCTGTAGTTAGACTACATTCATCTACGATTTTAACAATCATATATATTCTTCATAGATTCATCTTCGTGAATGCGCTGATGTCACCAAGGAAACCAACTCATGCAAGGAGAAAACTGTGAGAAAAACGGTAATTCAATGCAGCATTAGATTGTACCTTTCCCGTTTCATACACAGAGGGCGTAATGCAAAGTGATTCCTTCTTTTTACCTCGTCCGCCCGTAATTTTCCCGCTAAAATTTGTTGAGATGCAATTAAATGTTGCGCTATTTTTTTATATTCTGTAAGGGAACGTGAGATTAGCACAGTTCATTTGATATTAACTGAGAAGCATAAATACTATAGTTTATAGTTTTTTTGTTCATGTAAAAGACCATTCGAAATTAAAAAACGAGAATAGATTTACCTCTGTGAATCTGTACCTACATAACATGCTTCAAACACAGTGCATGTGCATTCTTTTGATGACCCAATTCAAGATGGTCGAATTGTGGCCATTTTATTGTGTTTAGATATTATAGCCTCCTAGCCTGACGAGGTCGCATGAGTTGCGCCCTTCCGCGGTTCCCAAACCCAACACAGTGAGCGCTGATGCCGTTCGGCCGGCGAGGACACTACTCGCGCCTACACACATGTCAGGCTAATGGCCTCCGTCCTTAAAGTGTTATTAATTTGATAACATATTCAGGTGTCATTTCTCCCTCAATCCGAGCTTCACAGGCATTCTTTCAAGATGTGTTAGACACCATACAGATATTTAGTTTATAAAGGGTTTATTCAAATCATGATTTATCTTACATTAGGGTATTATGTTAGATCTTTGGCCGGCAATTTCTACTGTACCTTAGAATTAGTGAATCCCTCTCAAATATCACCGATCTCACCTCCGGGATTTATACGCAATATATTTTTTTTATTTTTGATGAATGTTATTTTATTGAATTAGTTATTATTATTATGTCAATTTCATCATAAATCACAGTGGAGTTCACATATTATGGGCAAGGCGATCAATAGTTCCACTATGTTTTGTTTTAGATGACCGACCATACTGAACCAGAATCCTCAATCTGCTCAAAAGACCTGGTATTCTGTGATTTCAAGGAAATCGGGTGTGAAGATATGGTGAGTATGCTTACATCGGAAGAGAATGGGACATTGACTGACTTTCAAAAGAAACAATTACTAGTATTCATCGGCGTGAGAGAAACGTTTTGTAGTATGATTTCTGTTTGCCTCTTGCAGATTGAGAAACACAAAATGGCGGAACATAGCACTGTTTCGTTGGTGGGGCACTTACATATGATGTTACGGTTCATTCTCCCTTTCATATCAATGTTACAAAGTACACAGGACAGCGTAAATACGATAGTTAACATTAACTAAACACTTGAAAACCAGGAAAAGAAGATTCTGTGTCTGCAGTCTGATGAGAAGAGAATAGCAGACCGATTGTCTAGATTATCGACTAGAAACGAGAGAGAGAATAGCGAAGATGACGCTTTGGTTCGGACGGTAGAGAAACATGATAAATCGATAGTAGGACTGAATAATTGCATTGCGGTTACCAATAAAAAGATTAATACATGTGAAGGCATGATTGTGGTATTGAACAACGAAGTGGGAACGATGACTGACAATGTCACTTTGTTGTCAAGACAACAGAAGAAGTATACTGAGATGATAGAGGCGTTAGAGAAAAAAGTGAAAGCACAAGATAGAATTATCGCTTTAAAAGATGTTGCTATTGCTGAACAAGATTTAAGAATACAAAGTCTAGAAATGGCGTCCTATGATGGTGTGTTGGTTTGGAAGATAACAGACTTCGCTCCTAAAAGACAAGACGCCATCAGTGGAAGAACCACCTCTATCTACTCACCTTGTTTTTATAGTAGTCGCCATGGATACAAGATGTGTGCTCGGATATATATCAATGGTGATGGAATGGGGAAGGGTAACCACGTATCTTTGTTCTTCGTGATCATGAAGGGAGAGTCTGACGCCCTCTTGCGATGGCCATTCCGTCAGAAGGTCACTATGATGTGGTTAGATCAGATTAACAAAGATCACGTGATCGATGCATTTCGACCTGACCCTACTTCAAGTTCATTTCAACGTCCTAAACACGACATGAACATTGCCAGTGGATGTCCTCTATTCATGCCGCTATCACAGTTGGAAAGTCTACGTCATCATTACGTCAGAGATGACACTGCATTTATCAAAATATTTGTTGACACTAGTGATTTATCTTAATCCGCGATGTTTCTATTACACATATGAATCGTCAATTCTCCTCATCAAGTACGACAATTCTAAACACACCAATGGCGGAGCCGCAGAACCCGTAGTTACCCATACACAAATAGCCCACAATGCACTCATCAACGATGTCAGTGTTACATTCGTACACTGGTTTAACAGGGTGTAACTAATTTGAAAGTGTCATTAAGCATGTATGGTATATCCATACCGTGTCCTTCTAAATAGTTTCTCATAAACAAATGTACCATCTTCTCATTATTCTGTGTAATTAATATTAATAGAAGATTAGACAAATAATTAGATTCAGTGATGAGATGTAACCTTTGATAACTAGTCTTTGTTTTACAGAAATTGAAACCTTATAGCAACTTGAAAGTAACATTTTCAAGCACATTATATTGTAAAAGAAATAGCATTCGCATAAATGTTAATCTTGTTGTGATTTGTGTTGCTCACTAGGATATGTTCACTCCACACATTCACTAGGATATAGTATCACATCATGATTTTTAACATTTGCTCTATTTGATTGATTGTTATGAATAATGTAATAGCTATTATAACGCATTGGTGACATGCAGGTCAGCTGCGCCATATTTGTTATCACTCGACATATCTACTCAATTGAATATACGTATGATGATAATAAATATGTGTTAGTAGTACAAGAATCCGTTTATGCGAATGCGTTTATTGCGCAATGACATACCGTTGCGTATACGTACTGAGTATGACGTAGATAGGAGCACTCGTTAACAGATGTATTGTATGCTACGAAGAAAACAAACAGTGTTGTACTGAAAATGTTGAATTGTTCTCGTTACGAATATCGAGTTACGAAAACATCGGGTTACAACAATGACAACGCCCATATTACATATTACAGTTACGGCCAACATAGAATTATTGTTTTGTTTAACGTTATATATTTTCCGTAACTCGAAGTTCGGTCAACTGTTATTGAAGTTCGAGCCCCATAAATTTGGACGTTCAACAAAAACAAAAAATATTACCTGTAACTTGAAGTTCTGTTAACTGGAAATTGAACCTCGAGTTACAATTTGGAAGTGGTTTTGCAAAAGACGATGTAATTTCTAAAATATGGGCATCTCGTTGTACTGTGCAGATGATTTAACAAACAAGAGTAATTGCACACATTCTTTCTATTTTTCACATAGTATTCTCACATTCCCTTGTGTATGAGCGTGTCGGAGCGGATTGAAAACGTAATTACAGCGATATCAAATAAGACGCTATTATGACATAATTAATTACGCGATTATTATTGACTGTCATGTTTTTATAATAGTGTCATTATGATCCTTATAATGATAGTTATGTAACGTATAGTTAAAATGACATAAAAAACGGTCTGAAGAACATGAATTGGAAAATAACATAAATTTCTACATTTCTTTTATTATGTTATTAAATATCCATTTTGTACTATAAATCAATGTCACATCAATGTGTTTTATATAACACCTTTATAAAATTTTAATCTGAAAAATTAAAATATTATTATTAAATATAAAATTGTTATAAAAGCTATTTCAAAATATGCGATTTTATAATGCTCTCGAACAAAAGGGTTGTTATAGTCAAATATTAATTTTCTCCAAACTTTTCATAAAGTCTTATTATTTTCAACATAAAAGTGTGTATTAAAATATTATTTCATTTTATAGTTTCAATATTCTGAAATGTCATAATAACGCAATTAAATGGTGGTTAATCTCTGTTTTACTGGATTGTTCATAAACTCAAATTTTAAAAACGCTGAGTTAAGTCAATCACTGTAATATATATTTTAAAATGTTATTGTCTACGACTTTTGGATGTGACGGCGATATTGTATTGTGAAATGAGGGCTGCCATATTACAAAATACCAATTTGTTATTTTTATAATAGTGTGAGGGAAATATCAAAAAGTCACGACGTATAAAGGATACAAGTGATATTGATAGCGACGCTCACAGTAGTCATGAACGAGAAGTTCTCTGTGTTATTGATAGGAAAAACAGTGAAGTCGACCATACAGTCTGGGTAATAGTGAAGGAAGTGTTGCCTGTCACTTTTGTAGCGTTTATTATCATCAGTCTAAAACATCTACTTCACTGTCGGGCAACCCCGCTTTTCACCAATTTTTAATTATTGGCTGATCCAATAACCATATGTACTTCAACCTACAGCATGAACTGATGTCCATTCGAGGTCCCTGGGCTATGACATAACAAATTACAACGTATCTAGACTCTAGAAGAAAGGATAGGAAACTGGGGCATATCCTTTGATGCAATCTGGGTTACGTTAATTAATTAAGTTCTAATTGGTTGTAATGATCTTTAAATTCAACTGCAACTTACTCCCTATCATTTGAAAATCTTCCCCAGGTCAACAAAAATGACCAGTATGCAAAATATCTTGTATTTTGAGAATATTTATGAATTGCAATTCTCATACATATTTGTTTAGTAACACAAATCATGAATCAACTAATCACGTGACATACAATGGGAAAAAGTTTTAAGGTTTTTTTTAAAAAGAAACACAAAGTGTGCGTTTCACAAATTATTGTCTCTCAAAAACAAAACTATTATGAATATTTACCGGTAATGAAGCAATGATACAGATAATTGACAATTTAAGATCGTTAAATTAGTTCAAAAACGATATACAAAGATTGTATTGTTCAACATCTGTGGTACTACATATAGTGACTTATTTGTTCGCCTTAGATAATACAATTATATATTAGAGTTAGTTCAAAGCCAAGCTCTGATATCATTTGTGGGTCAGTTTTCAATCCTTGCTCTCATGGGGTCTATGGTCGTATTAAAAAAAATTATTTTCATTTAAGTTGCATTGTGTGACATTCATTGTCTCATAATGAACTTTGTATTTCTATGCAAATGAAGAGTTGTCAGTGGTTAATTTCAATGAATATACATTTTACACGTGATTTGCTGTATTTTGATCTGGTGTATTCGGTTTATGACCTATAGCATATTCCATTATAACCTATATCAACATGTTATTGGCCTTTAGCATTCAGTTTTAATAAATGCTGTTGCTAGAAAAATTTGGATAAAAATGTATGGCCATCGAACTACTTTTTAGACAAAATATGTGTCAAACACCCATGATTTTAGAGCTCTTTATCATTGATTATTTTAGAAAAAAATCTTTCTCAAAAAATTCTTCAGATACATAAGGTCTAAAAATGATAAAAAATCTTTATGCTTATCCAAATACTACGTATTTATTTGTTTTGAACAATACTTTAACCGGAATCACTATTATATTTTGCATGTTTTCAGGCAGTTTTTGTCCCAAAACAACATTTTGCACCGGGTAAAATAAAGCAAAACCCGATAACCCGTGTTTAAATTAACAATTAGGTATCACAAAAAGTGATATTTTTGTTGCTCTTATATAATAGGCTGAATACCCACAAACGACCCTAATTGCAGCCATTGAAAAACATCAGTGACGACGCTTATATATTTGGAGAAATGTAGGTATTCCGAGAAAATCATCCGCCCCCTTGAAGTGTTAAATGAACAGTCCCTAATAAAGCAAAGACATATGATTAAATCAATACTTAAATAGCTTATTCCACAGTGTCTTTCTATTGGTTGATATCTAAGACTTCCGGCTGCTGATGTGCATTCGGATTGGTTACATCAATATGTTAATAAAATCTCCACAGTGCTACATTACGGTAGATGTTCTTTGCGAACAACTTCCAACACACATCTTTTCCATATTCGTGCAGCTTTCGTGCAACAGTCAAGTATTGCGGTGAGAATACATGTGTTACTCTTGTTTACCAAACCGACGGTGACGATGATGAAATACATTTATTGAGCAATTCATCGAGTGAAACTTTATAACAGTCAAAAATTATCATTATTATTTCTTTCTATTTTGTCAACTGGATAAAAATCATGTGATAATTCTGGTTTTAGCTGGTAAAAGACGGTACGAGATTATAATATTTAAAGACTTTTATTAATTTTGCTTTTTTTTTCTAAAAATTATATATTTCAGATCAAAAGGGAAGCCGGCGTTAAAAGATGTTTCTTAAAGTTGTACTCGCTATTTGTGTGGTGTGCAATATTATCGCGATTTCATCGTCTAGACCGGTAAGTAGTCAGTTAATACACTCTCAAGATATTCAAGGTGTGCTGTGGTGTTTCTGAATTTCATGTCATCTGCTACTGAGACTGGTCTATTGTCTACTCGACTGTATAATATTCATCCCATCAAATTAATGTTACAAATGTCTAACCGTAAACTCATACTAGTCGAATAAGGTCTGAAAATCCATTTGTTAAATTAAATATATCGACTGACGATGGTGGCGTTGGTACATTGAATCTCATATGAATTGAATGCATATTCTAAAAAATGAACATGATACTCAATTATTTACATTCACTAATTGTGAATGTTACTGTCCCATGTGTCGATAACGACTCGACTTATGACAAAATCGTAGGTCACGTAAAAATTGGTAACTTAGTGGCCACATTCCTAAGCAACCACTCAACAATATTGGACATACTTGACGAAAGTTTGGGTTGGACGTTGTAGCGATGGTATGGTACTAGTAAATAAAAAAGGTCATTTTGTAATTGATTGTTTAAAAAGATATATTCCCGCGGATGTTTAATTCAGTATTATTAATGCATATGCGCATATGTGTTCCTGACAGAGCATAGACGTTTGCATTTTACGTAGCTTCTTTGATATGCTTCGTAGCATGCCTAGTATTTCGAAGCCCAGTTATTGATGCATACATTATCAATTGGTGTCGATGAATGACATCATTCGCGTTAATACACGTGTAATTGAGTAGCTTAATAACATAGCGCGATGAGTTGTGTTATTCAAATTTGCCTTCCAATCATAATTATGTTGAACCTACTAAATCGGGATTGGTAGCGTGTTAATAATGCGAGTGAATTGAAATCCTGTCAGTGTG